CTCTCTCTCTCTCTCTCTCTCTCCCTCCCCCCCCCTTCGTTCGGTATGTTGAACTCTCGTCTAATAGACCATCGAGGTACAGTATCTCCTCACTCACATCCTATGCCTATGTGTTGATGCATGGCGGTCTCGTGGAGATTGGGCGCTTTCTGTGTGTATTGTCCGTCGAATTTTTTTAACACAAAAGAACATTTGTGTTCGCCCTCAAATTCTTTCAACTTCAGTTGAAAACCCTGGGATTAATAAAATGTTGCCCCATTGAACATGATTATTGTGCGGACGATATTCAGTAGATCAAGTTGCCTGTGCTTCCTCAGAGCGCGAAACAGAAACTAGGCTTATGGCGAAGGCGGAAATGGAGAACAGAAAAAAAGAACGATCTGCACATGCGTCACTCGGGTGTATAATATTAATAGCGTTTGTTTTTTAAACCCAAAATTTGGGTGTAGAATAACACCTCGATTTTTGATGTGTCGGATACATGCCAGCAGAAAGATGGACATAATAATACTTGAAAAAACGTCTTCCCCACATAGGAAACGAACTCAGGTGAAATAAGGAGCCCAGCAACTACACTACAGGCACAATGTGTCAGTTATATAGCCAGTAACGAGCATTGGACACACAATCAATGGTTTTTCTTGTCACCAGAGAACAAAGCAAGCCTACGGCACAACGGGGAATTTTGGGGGAAAATACTCACTCCCATCCTCAACAAATGGGACTCCCATGAAAGCCAGGGAGTTCAGACAATGAAAACAGGACGCACAAGTGGAAAAGGACGATAAAGACACTATTTCACTAGCGGTATTTGCCGCGTGCAAACTGAAACTTCACTCAAGGCATTGTACTGCTCAGAACAAGAGACAATTGACAGACAATAACTTCCAAGCTGAAACTAGCCCCGCCAAATCAGATCAATGTAAACCATTTCGAGATTGTCGGCTATTTTACAACAAGCTCCGAAGCACACAAAGAAAGAGAGCGACGATGGGGAAGAACTCTGTGACAGGAGCCGGCTTGAAAGAGTCAACTTTGTACTAACAGGACACTGAAGAGATGCTTCGCTTTGTCGGAGTCGACGTCGAAGAATCACTAATTTTCTAGAACATTCCCTATGTAAATGTCGGAGCCGTACTCAACGAATAGACACGACATGAGACGAGACAAAGCCGTGGGAAGCTCGGAATGAGTCACCCGACGACAGTCGATGGTAAGGAGTGTTGTCACTTCCGGCTTCCACCCTCTCTTTCTGTGACTGTGGGTACTACGCCCAACACAAAAAAAGATTTCCCCTTCCTCTGCCGTCACTTTGCCGGCGGCCAAAACAGAAAAAGTTTTACGTCTGGTGGTGGCAGAAAAGAAAGCAATTCTCGACCGAGTCTCTTCAGAAAGTTCAGGTAACTGTAACCACTTTGCTGTCCTGTGGAACTTCCGTATTGTGTTTGTCTCACGGGCGCAATGACATCATCAGACACCAGGTTGTTGGGTTTTTGTGTGTTGTTTTGCTGTTGTTGTTGGGTTTTTTTGCATAAGTGAATGCAATGATGTCATCGGACTCAAAGTTTTGTGTTTGCCATGAGAGCATAATGACATCTTCCACAACCTTAAATGAAACATTTTCAGTTCTCAAAAATACCTCAACGTTGACGATTGAAAAACAAGTTAGCTGTTGTGTTTATACCCGTCCCAAAGATGACATTGCGATAGAAAACACTTTTAACAAATAGATAAAAGCAAAGACCTTTATATTTGTACTCAATATAACTGTGTCCAGTTTTCAGGGAAATAAGATGTAACAACGGATTGCTTACTTTATTTGGCTTGCTTACGCTGGTTGCTAATTGAGTCATATTTTAGTGTGAGAAAAGGGAAAAAGTTGACATGATAACGGTCCATCAGTACCACGGATAGGCAAGGTAAACATACAGAAGCAACCATGGGACAGGACTAAAGCAGGACCTACAAGTGGCAGTAAAAGTAAAGTGGCCCCCACCCACACCCCAAAATCTCCATTCTAAAAAATACGTTAAAATATATGTTTCGCATTAGGTCAGGGCAACCCATATGTGGTCCCCAAGGAGAGTAGTATCCCTGAATGTGCGCCCTAGGCCAAATAAGTTCCAAATAGAGAGCTTAAGTTTGCCTTTACCCCAGAGCCACACTCTACCCCCTTAACGAAGAGACGTTTTGCTAGAATACAAAATAGCCACAAGGACCCAGAGGGGGGCGGAGGGTGTGGGTCGGGAAGGGAAGGGCAAACTCCCAGTTGGTGGTCATGCAAAGTGCTGGGAACAACACAGAGCTGGTCTCTGGTTCATTGGTTGTAATTGTTGATGTTTTACAGACTGCTTTAACCGTGTCTGTATAAGGGCCTAACCATGACAACAGAAGATACAACAGACCAGCAGACAGATGAAGATACTAAAAAAGAAGTTAAAAAATAAAAACCCACACGAGAGTTGAACTCGTGTCTCCGGTGTGCGACGGCGAAGAACCTTACTGCTACATGAGAGACACCGGTTTTAATTCATTGCCACATGCACAGTAAGACACTCAAACACAGCCTCACCACCACCATTGCCATGCCAAGAGTGTTTGTGTGAGTGATTGACCATGTATAATTGAATATTGCACAGACTGCAGGTTTCACCACCGCTGTCTCTAGTAACAAAAACACTCATCACTACCACCACCAGAAACAACAAACAACAAAACTTCTAGGCGACTGACTCATCACGTTCTAGGCGACTGACTCATCACGTATATATCTGACTGCTGCTGCAGCAGAGATCTCACCATCACCACCACCACCACCAACAACACCCCCCACCCACCCCCGTGACTGACTATTGCAGCAGCAATAATATCATAACAGAATGTGACAGATTCACCACCAGCGTTTGTGGTGTGGCGGGATTAGGCCCTTCGCTGTAGCAAACAGGAGATTCGAGTTCGATTCCTGAGTGGAGCAAAACTTGAAGGCCTATTAGATGTTCTGTCTTTCTGCTGGCGGCGTGACAGGCAGGATCGGAAGTCCGCCTTTCTTAAATGATCTAAATTGTGGGATGAATTTTTATTTTTTATTTTTATTTATTTTATTTATTTATTTATTTTTTTAGGGGGGGGGGGTAAAGCACGTTGAGGTTTTTTTCTTATTAAAAAACAACAACAAGAAAACCCCCACACAGACTCACCATGTATAACGGACTGTTGCTGCTGCTGAAGGTCCGTGTTGCTCATGTCCCGGAACACTTCCGGTTCGTCATTCATGCCCCAGGGGTCAGCCTGGCTGAAGGTGTCGCCTCCGCCCCCGTGGCCCAGCAGTAGACTCCTGGCGGGGAAGCAAACACACACACATATATATATATATACTATATATGTATACACGAAACACACACACACACACACATATATATATACTATATATGTATACACGAAACACACACATACAGGTGGGCCAGTTGTCTAATTTACACAAGCTGCAGAAGCCAGAAACAATACCAGAACAATATCAACCATAGCAATATCACAACTGAAAATGTCTAAGACTGCCACCTATTTTGTCGAAAAAAAATGGCTTCTAAGACAGGTGGACCACTTACACAATGTCAATATAAATAAATAAATAAATAAATAAATAAATAAATAAATAAATAAATAAATAAAAATTTGAAAAACACAAGGAGGAAAATGGAAAGTGACTGTTTTTACAAGTGATTGTCTTATACAGGAGGCCGTTGGAGCAGGTACATAAACGCACACAACATACATTACATAAAACTTATACATTGCAGGGAGGTGCCACCAGAGAGGGTTTACAGTAATAAAGAGGTGACACTCGTGGCGGCGCTCCATAACAACAGTGCATTGTTTCGCGTATCGCACGGCGCGGGGCGCGAAAACACTTACGCGCGGTGATCGCTGCCACGGCGATGCTCAGGGGTGCTGTCATGTCATGAGAAAATGTAGTGCCGTCTGTAGTTAGTTCACTAGGTTACAAGACCTTTAACAAAGAAGGAGGCCTGTGATTTCTGTCGCATATCTTAGGCAACCCCACCTCCCTCGACCGTTAACATACATTCTAATAAACAAATAGACGCAGATATTATTTCGTCTCTAAAGATCTGAAAAAATAATATCACCGTAATTGAAGGAATAATCGGTTTAATTTTCAGCAAATCTACTCGTTCTCCAGTGTCCCTCTGTCATCTCTCTCTCCCTCTCTGTCGGTCTGTCTGTCTGTCTGGGTTTTTTTTCTCTCTCTGTCTCTTTTTCTCTCACACTGTCTCTCTTTCTCCCCCTCTCTCCCTCTGTCTACCTGTCTGTCTACCTGTCTGTCTGTCTCTCTCTCTGAATCTATCTCTCTGTCTCTCTCTCTGAATCTATCTCTCTGTCTCTTTTCCTCTGTCTCTATTTCTCCCCTCTCTCGCTCTGTCTATCAGTGTGTCTGTCTGTTTTGTCTGTCTGTCTGTCTCTCTTTCTCTCTCCCTGTCTCTTCTTCTCCCCCTTCTCTCGCTCTGTCTATTTGTCCACTGTCAGTCTGTCTGTCTGTCTGTCTGTCTCTCTCTCTCTCATACACACACACACACACACACACACACACACACACACACACACACACAAACACACACACATAATATATTAAATTCTCATCATTTCAGATCATGGAAAAAGCACATAAAGCAATCAATTATGATAGATCTACCACTTGAAAGAGGTTAATAGGATCCCTAACACCTTCCAACCCCCATCCCCCCTCCAAAAAAAAAGTGGTAATCGGACAAAGTAGGAAAACCGATCGATGGCACTGTATATTTAGACATCTTTTCGCAGACCCACGTAACATATCTTTCACTAGTAGTAGTAGTAGAATGCAAGCTCAATTTGGACATTTACACAGGGAAAAAAACAACCCAATTTACAGCTGATATAACAAAGTTGAAGTGTGTTGAGTTTGTGCATATCTCTGGTAGTCTGGTAGGACCACAATCACATTGTCATTATTTTGATCTATATTTTTCTATTCATCAAAATATATTCGCCATCCTTTGGAAACTGAAAAAAAACCCTCAGATTTTGATTCTAATAGGTGCAGTTTAAAGCAGAACACCATTGACACTTCGTGCTAACCGGGGCCATGCTTGTCTGCGATCAACGAAAATGCCTTGAACAATGGACGCAGTTTGTTTTGTTTACCGCGCGTTTCTCCGCGATCAGCTGGTGACCCAGATACGCACATCCGGGCGAAGTGCCGTCTCTCTAGTGGTGCCACTGTTTTGAAATAGCAATATCTCTGTGGGCTAGGTTACTGTAAACCATTTATTGTAACTATCCTGTGTATGAACCCAAAGGGTGGTTTTCAATATAAAGCTCAAATAATGTTTTCTATTTTTCTATTACTGGATCAAGATTTTGTTCTTAAATTCTTATTCGGTCGCTAACTTACAGGAGAGCTATGTAAAGTTAAATGCGCATTGGGAACAAATGAGCGAGACTTTTTTTAACGCAAACAAACGAAAGTGAAAAAAAAACCCTATACACTATTTTTAATTTACCATCTGAAATGTTTTCATTTTAAAAAAAAAGAAGGTGACTGGTTGTTTTTTTTAAATGCAATAACCTAAAATCGAAACAATTTTCATGAGGCAAACGCTCTGACAACCATCACTTTTCACGATATCGACAATGTAATGACGGTACTGCAGCTCCTTCCTGTTTGCGACCAGACAGTATGCCTAATTGCCCTGTTAGTATTATTATTTCTGAATTGAAAAATGCACCGACACCACCGATTTCTGTACATCTCTGCAAAATGCACAACATGACAGGAGAGAGAGAGAGAGAGAGAGAGAGAGAGAGAGAGAGAGAGAA